AACAGGGGAAGCGAGCCGTGCGGGAAAAATTATCCCAGCGCTGCTCACCATGCGTTAATCGCCGCCTCACCGACCACGGTTCATTATACACGGTAGGACAATAAGGACACGCTTGTATTGGGAAGTGGTAAATATGGGTGGGAGATGCGCAGAACGACCGAAAACTGAACCGTGCCGACTCTTAGTCACTCGGGAAATAGACTGTAGACGCTTTTAAACTAGAAGGTATTATCCGTCCGATGACATAGGGTGTCAGAGAAATGTTGGAATCTGACAAAATGGCGCAGTTTTTAAGAGATTTTTCCCTAAAAAAAATTGTCGTTTTTTCGTTGCTAAAATTACACTTTTCATCCAATCAAGACTATCCTACGTCATCGGACAATAAAGCATGTCCAGAACACTATGTTAAAATTTCAAGTCAATCGAATAATTGATTTTTGAGTTAGAGTGTCAGCAAATTTGAAAAATACGTTTAATGTTTTAAACATTATGTTAGTACCTACTTATATTATATTAATACTATTAGAAGACTGCCACTCAAAAACTAAATAGTTGAGATACGACTTTGAAATTTTAGTATGATTTCTTGAAGGTATAAACTTCCGAAAAATACAAAACATTTGATCTTTTTAAAGTTTTACACTGGTATAGCCCGTTAAATCTAATTGATTGGGCATTTTATTTAATAACCTCAGTTCCTCAAATGCTTGTTTTCACAGTCAAGCTTGTCATCATTGTCTTCTGTTACTTCTGTCCTTTTAGACCGGGTAAATGCAGCAATTTTTCCCCTCAGCTAAATAAGTATTTATTGTTATATTCAGTATATAATATGAGAGTTGTTTATAATACACAAGACAGATATATATATTCTTTCTATAATCGAAAAAAAATTCAAATTCATTACAGAAAAAATGACACGAATTTCAAATTGAATTGCAGGTATGGCACTCGCAATTGGCCCCGGTAGCGGTTCCGGCAGCGGTCCCGCAAGCGGCCCCGGCAGCGGTCCCGCAAGCGGCTCCGGCAGCGGTCCCGCAAGCGGCCCCGGCAACAGACCCGCAAGCGGCCCCGGCAGCGGTCCTGCAAGCGGCTCCGGCAGCGGTCCCGCAAGCGCCCCCGGCAGCGGCCCCGGCAGCGGTCCCGCAAGCGGCTCCGGCAGCGGTCCCGCAAGCGGCTCCGGCAGCGGTCCCGGCAGCAGCCCGGGCAATGGAAAGTAGCCCGACACGGAATAATCTATCTAACCATACTAGTTCTTGTACAGTAAATTCAGACTCGTTTGTCGATAATGCGACCGATTACTGTCTACGCGAACTCCACGTAATTAAGTCATTCCCTAATTTTATTACGTATCGTGATGTTGACTTCCGCGATACATAGTCACTAGTAAAATCTGTGTCACTGTACGCTGAGAACTGCGCATTTTGATTTATGTCATTTTTATCATAAATCAAACCATAATTTAAGTTACCTTTAAAGTATTTGATTATGCGCTTTGCGGCGTTCCAATCTTTTAGAGAATTAAGTTTGTGTTTTACGAAAATTTAATATTATTAACACTGTACAAAGTACTGCATGTATACTTAAGGACCTTTCCCACTGTCCGCCGGCACAGTCGCCGGCACGCCGTACCGGTCGGATCTTTCCCTCACACCGGCCGGCATTTCGAGTGTGCGCAGTTGACCTATTCGCTCTGCAGGCCAGTGGGCCCCTTTGAAGCATCCAGCTTTTACACGCTTTTTCCTATACCTCGCAACTTAACGTTTCGACCCTGCCTGTCCGTGCCGGGAGACAGTGGGAAAGGTCCTTTAGCGTAAAATTCAGTTTACTATACAACTTATAAAATGAAGGATATAGTGAACATTTTCGAAAGTAAACTTAATGGATACAGCAATCAGATGTCTCTGAAATAAAAAATATATAGACCCTGTATCTATAATATATCTTCAAATTGAAAATAAAATTAAGATAAGAGAGACGCTTAAACCATGTTTGAGGCAAAGCAATTCATTCAGTCTCATTTGCTTTTGATAGGGAAAAACAATCTTGATTTGAATGGCTCAGCGGGCTACCGCACACTCTAGCTTCTTGACCAATTTCGTATCGACTCCGTGTTTATCGTTTGTCAGGTCGCTACCCTCCCGGGATTCATAAATCACCGTTAAGCCCAGCATTTTGTACGTGAGCTCCCTCCTGTTAGGTTGAACAAGGTGTTCGTGTTCATGTAAGACTCCGCCTTCACACGTATGGTTAAGGGAGACAAATATACTTTAACGATAGCACTTATCCTTTATCGATACCCATATTCTGTACCCTCTTGTATGTCACGAAACATTTTTTTTTGTAATATCCAAAGTGATTATTATGAAGAATCTATTGTTCATATAATTTTTTTAATTATATACCATGCATAAGGATCAGTTTAAGTAAATAAATGAGAAATGGATGAAAATAGATGATCCTATTATTTTCCGATAAGGTTATTGTTATATTAGATGTATATTCATACGAATTCTACCATACATTAATGTAATCAAATACGTATTGATTTTTTCGTAAGTGTATACATCGTAGTCTCCAAATGTTTGAACTGTTAAAATGTCAACGTTCGTTAAACTGTTACCTTGTAATCTGATTTGACCGAAATCCAAAGTAGTCATTCGAAGTAGAGGCACTCACACTGTTTTAAATGACTTTGAAATATATTGTTGGTGGCATGATTCTGAACATTTAGAATAATTACCAACACAATCTTCTCTCACCTCAGATTTGAACTCGAGTAATCCGACATTCGTGACCAGTCATACGTGTCCAAACATTGACGCCAAATTTACGGCCGGCCGAGTTGTATAGCCCATTTAACCGAAAATTATGGTAATAACAACTTCGTCAAATCCTTCCTATTTCGCCTACCTATCCCTTCTCTCCCTTTCCTGCTTTCATCCTTCTCTTTCGGGGGACAGATATGGAAGTTGGTGTGCTGTGCTGTGGTGACTGAAATTGTGCAGAGTAAATTGCAAATTCAGTTGGTGACGCCGTCACGTTAAATTCTGAATCTTGAAATCTCCCCCACTATTTTACTAATTTAAAAAGTATTCCTACCAAATAATATGCCCTTTTATATCAAATAATTTTCATTCGATCATAGTTTTGATAACTTGAACGCCGTACAAGATATTCTACTACTCTGACTTAAACGGAACACCCTGTATACTATTATAGTATACAGGACGTCCCAGTAACATTACTACGCGCCATCGACGCGCCATAAGACGAAAAAGTGTTGGAGAAACAAATTGTGTGGTTCGAACAGTTAACTAAAATTTACTATAAATACTCTGTCGGACATTTCCTAACAACTAAAGAAGACATCAAAATGAGAATATGAATTGTTTGAACAGCGGTTATCCTTTTAATGTTGTCAAATGTTCGAGTATTTATACAAAATTTACAAAGTACTTAGAAATCCAAGAGTATCATTGTGAGCATTTAGTAAAATAATATATATGTAACGCTATTATGATATTATACGTTTTTTTAAATTTCAGTTCAGAATTCATTATAACTTTTTAACTATGTATAATACAAAAAAATGGTCCAATTAAATACTATTCAGTTTAATAATACCAAAAGAAAGAGTATATGCTTTATTGTAGTTTTTTTACAAAGGATGTTGAGCAGGCCTGTATCGTCAATTATTCTAATCGCTTATCATTCTTGCATCCTTACACTTCTTTTAACAATCACATTATCACCTATTCGATACAAAATTGGCCTATTAGAACAGAGTTACAATCTAATAATTGTTCGTTGATATATAGCTTTTTTCATACATGCTTCATATATCTAAACCACTAACAAAAAATCAATGATACTTCCCATTAAAAAAATATCGACTTATTAAGTAGTTCTACAGTTTTTCAAAATTTCTAAGTATTAATGAAATGTTTGTGAGAGTATTGTCTCCTCAGCTGAAGCGATTAGAAGCGAATTTTGTTCAATCATCATTTGTTCTACACTTGCGTTTGTGCTGTTAACAATTGTTCAATATACTACCCGAGATTTGGCTTCAATGATTATTATAATTCTATTATTTCTTCTCATTAATTTTCAGACGTTACATTTAGAGCTTCTAAATTTTTTCATAATACTATTTACAAAGCTATTCCTGTAGCTAGTCTGCACCAGTTAATTCAACTTACTGATCGATAACTAATACGTCCAAACTGTTTTCTAGGAAAAAAGCAGGATTGAAAGTATGCAGAGGAAAGTTTCGTAGCTAGTTAAAATTACGTTACACTTTGATTTCAGCGGAACATTTTCCCAAATTAATTAAACTCGACACGACTCGAGTTAAGTTCGACACGGGAAACAATACTGTTCAACAATCATGATCAAATATAATTGATAGTCCATTTTATCGTTCGTGATATCAAACTCTGGAAGTAAATCAGTATTTATGAAGTTCTTGATTTAAAAAAAAAGCAGGAAGTTTGTTCGTTAGTCGACGTTTATATCAACCAGGAAAGAGCGTCTCTTACGTTAAATCGAACAGAGAGAGTAAAATCAATCACATCGTTTCTAAGAACCTTTCCCATCTGCCCGGATGTAGTTTTTCTGCTTTAACTTCTTCCTTCTCCACGAGGAAACACATACAGGAGGCGAGGGTATCCTCGCTTCGCCTGTAGGATACGCCTTTGGTGCTGGCAATCTAATAGGAGCGGTAAATCGCGAGCAGCTATTGCATCGGCGGAAGAGGAAGCACGTCGGGAGTGATTGAGGCGCCGTGGGAGGACACGTTACTGTAATTTATTGACCTATGATAGCAAGCATTATGTCATCGCCCGTGCCACTCTTCCCTTTCAGCTACTGTTACACCTAGGGAGACGTTCCGCCGATTTCGGCCGGCTTACTTATTACTATCACGTACGTTTCCACATTTATGATTTTTCCACGGTTTTCATTACGCCTCCGTCACGTTCCTCCAGCACGTTTGCCTGCGTCTAACCATCTACTCTTGATCTGGATCCGCACAAGTGACAGCTAGCTTTCAGGAATTTGTTCATCTGCTCGCACCTTGCTCCTTGCATCTGCTGCCGTCCTAATGGAGTATTCACACTATGATTTCCGACTGTATTCCCGTGGAGATTTTTTACAGAGATTTCTGATATGTTCAGATGCTAAAACGGGGGCAATCCAGTGCCCTAGTAAAAGATGCAAAGTGTAGGGAAGTTCGGGTAAAAGTTGAGTGAGGCTCAGCGAGTCTGATCATTTCTGCGTTACGAGCGGTCAGATCCTCTGCTGCCGCACGTAGCTACTAGTTTTCTAAAGCATTTCCAAGATTTCTCCGTGGGATTTTCAAGATTTTCCTATGGCATTTCTATTTCCGTGGGGAGGTTATCGGGAAAGCGTAGTTGTTAGCGAGTAGTGATCAAAAGGGGTTCTGTTATATTTTGACTGTAGGCGAGCCTTGTTATGGTTGTTGAATGGTCCGTAACTTTATTTATATACATTACGATTGCGGTAAGAGATCGCCTACTAATGTTATACAAAATACTGTAAATGCAATGGTAACACATTATTGGTGGAATACAATCAAATGGATCGAATGAAGGATCTCCGATAAACAATGTATTAATACGAGAAATATATATTAATAAAAGAAGTTTGGTTAAAATCGATGAATAAAAATATTTTTATTCAATATTAACGATATACATGACAGTTTCATAAGTTTTCTACAATGTGCATTCTATGTTTTAAGGAACTTATATTATTCTCTGGACGCCTTAAAGTTTTATATCGTTCGAAACTGTTATTGAACGGAAATGATAATTAAATTAGCAATTCGGAAACTCTTCAGTTCCAATATGACAAAAGCGAAGCAGATAACTTCGTCCAACCGCATACGCTAACATCTGATGATCAAACGACCATGCGAAAGAAGATTTTATCTGTTATGTACCTATTGTATTTGTGCAATAAAAATGTGATCATTTATGAACATGTATCCCATTTCGACTCTGCCTGCTAAGGCTTAGTTGTAGTTTTTCAATCGAACTGGACGGACGAAGTGATCGTGAACATGAGCAGCAAGAACAAAAATGCTTCCAAAGATGAAGAATTAATCAAGCGTGTGCGTCAATGCACGGAATTGTACGACGTCAGATTGCCGTGTATATACGCGGAAACAAGAAGTATGCATGAACCTAAAAGATGGTAACGTAAATTATTTGTTCCGTAATTCCATAGTGATTTATAAATTACTAGTACATGTAAAGATTGTTTTGAGCGAAAACCAGATCATTTAATATAGTGCCAGGAGACAAAAATATTTTTCGTTTATCCAAAACTTCTGTATCGCCTTGTCTGCAGCGCTACGCTGCTAGCGCATACGCCTTTAATTCTGGTCTTCTACAAAATTAATGCTTTATTTAAATTATATAATTTACATTTTAATATTAATTAATCATACAAATTTTATATTTAATATCAATAATATTTATTATTTTATTTTCGATAAATTTACATTAATAAACCTTATATTAATAAACTAATTAAAGTTCCTAATTGTAATGAACGTCATGATGCGGCAATTTAAATATGACTGATTACAGTAATGCAATTGACGAAATAAAACTGTAATTTGATGTTATATGTTTTATACGAAAAACGTGAATGATATTTTCATAACAATTTCAAAAATGCCGAAGCAGCACGGGCGTTAAGTGTTGAATTTTTCACGTTTGTCAGACGAGAAGAATACACGTTCGTATATTTCAGGACGCAAAACACATTTTTATACATACTTTCAAACCGATTTGTTTATTCAACCACTTGACTTATTCGAGCCGTTCGGTTAATTCGAGCTATTCGGTTCTTTCGAGTTCTCGGATCGAATCGAAAACCGAGTCTGGGTTCGATTCGATCGTCGTACTACCCAAAGATGCGAGGATTTCGACACCTCTACTACTGCAATCACGTGAATTTCCTGGTAGTGACCACTGGTCATTCTCAGCTTTATTAAAATCCATTAATGGAATATTGACTGGGGGTGCGAGACTATAAAGCAGGGTCTCGGCAATAACGATTTGCAATAAAATTCTGATTCATAGGATTAACCGTTATAATCTCGTTATGCGTTCAACGCGAAAATAATTCTCCCTGTACTTTTCGTCGAGGAGCGAGGGGCTAATGGCGTACGATGAAATATCGGTGAACATCGCGGAAAACATTTTTACTTAGTTTTAGAGCTGCATTAACTCACACACACGACGGGGAATCTCCACCACAGAAATGCTGTCAACGTAATTACGGACACTTCGTACGCGGCTCGAAATTTTTCCTCCATACCACGGTCACGACTATGCTGTAACGGTATAATACCGTGTGATTTTAAATTTCGTTTATCTTTACGGAATCGATATTTGTATGCTTGTTTTTAAATGTTGTGCGATGGAACAAAATATGTAATATGTTAAAATATGTTGGAAATGGAAACAAAATAGGAGAGTAATCCGAATTTGATTCGTAATTTCGCATGGTAGGATTAAAGCTACTGCGGAAAAATATATTATAAATGTTAGTTGAGATTTCATGCTAAAAATGTACTATTAGAAAAATTGATACCCACTCTTATTTTGCCAAATTATTTGATTGGTGGAAGTTCAGCAATCATTAGACTTATTAATTTTATTTAAGGACCGATCTTTATTTATTCATTTGAACTAATGCGCTTCACGTAATCAATTATATCACTCCATGCAAATAGTTTCAATTAGTTCGAAATAATACTTAGCAAGAACATCTTATCCTAATTATTAAAGATGAAGGGAGTTAAATTAACGTTTTTGCGAGTATGTCCTTCGCGGGAAATTGCTACTCTCGATCATCCACAGTCAGCCGTGACATTAATTGTTCGCGAATAGTTTCAACGCGCTCCCTCTTTCCCTTTGGTTCACTACTGCTTTCGCGTGCCCATGGTTCCTTCCAGTTAATCCTCCACGTATTCCGAATAATATTCATACCCAATAGACAGCCACTAGGATTATCGGTTTATCGAGTTTACTGATTTTCGAGAACCGTGATGAATTAGCACTGTTTCCATCACAAACGATGGTTCGAGGAATATGTCTCGAATTACCATAAGCTCGAAATAGAAAGTTGGACGTGAATAGCCGATTAATCAACCACTGACCACCTTGATCACTATAATTTACCTGCTCGCACACTCGTATCGAGATTACCTATGCAATCACTCGGAATCGATTAAATGATCTTCTCGGAGGTTGTTAGTTCGACGAATCCAATGCGTTATTGTCATTTGGCGTTGTTGGATACAGTTTTTAATGGAATCCTACAATTATGATGGATAACTCCGCGAATTGAGTGGGCGGAAATATAAATGGAAATCTGGTGTAGTTGGAAGATTATTAATCGTAACGATTTATTCTAGGTGACACGATGGTCATAGTAAGAAAGATGATTAAGAGATGGCAATTTCGAAATTCCCAGAAAAGAAGAGATTTTCTAATTTACTTGTGCGAATGACACTATGTCTTTACTACTATTTATTTTCTGCATTATTACTCGTATAATCGTTTCTATTATGATGATTGGTTTTTCGTGGAGATCTGATAACATTCTGGTTTGGTAATAAAGTTTTAGTGGATTCTCTAAATGTACAAATACAAAATAAGGTAGATATATTTTGCACTTAAAGTTTAATTACTATTTTCTATCTCCATCGTTTTATGCCACTTCTATTCCTTAGCAATATTCAAAAACATCCAACAAAATATGCAAAATATTAGTAATCGATATCCTACTCTCTACTCGATTTTAGTCTTCGATGAAGATCTTTAAGTCCACGAGAGGATACATATTCAAAACAATGGTCACTGAAAATTGCAAAATAACCTAGAGTCCGTAGCCTACGATACAATTTATTCTGATATAAAGAAAAGCAGACAGGGATGAAGAAAGGAATGAAGAGGGAAGGAAAAGCGTGATGAGGAGGATCGGAAAAAAAATATAGAGAAGTCGAACAAGTTGGCACAGCGTGGAAAACAGTGGAAACTCCGAGATCCGAACAGTAGGGAAGCCGACTTTAATATTTTTCACATAAATTTTACGGCGTGCCTCCACCTCGCCGGTGGACTCAGCGCGCAAGTACTCTCCGCGCAAATTCGAGAGAGCGGTTTATCTTTAACTTTATTTCCCCGATTTTGCATTCTATTGACGGTCCGACCTGCCGGCCTCGACACTTCTAGTATTCGAGAGTCCGGTGTTTTTGATTTATGCGACCCGTGCGACTGTTATCCGTGACTTACTGCCCCAACCCTTTTGACGACTTTTTTATACCATCGAGTATGATGGTATTTTGCTTCCTATTCCCGTACATACCCCGTCACACAGTAATTTATATTTAAATACCCATTTATAATATTTCTTCTATTGTGCTATTCTTCTTCAGTTTATGATTATTTTTCACTTGCTTGTCGGTGTACATAAATATTATATTCAACATTTAGAAACAAAGTTCTTACTCATGCTCTAAAATACAGGCTGTCTCAGAATTAATACTACGCTCGAAAATGGGGAGGAGCTGAGGTGATTTTAAACAATATTTTCCTTTGCAAAAAAGTTGTCCGATGCGTGATTGTCGAGTTATTAACGAAAAACCACGACCAATCAGAGCGGACATATGTATAGCGGATAACCAGGGGAGCGACAACCGCCTTGTGCGTTACCGCTCCCGTATGCCACGCTTGTGACGAAATGTAGGATTAAAACAAAAG